TGGTGGGTAACGGGCGGGTGTGCCCGGCCTCCTTCTCCTCAGCGAGCCGCCGCCGCCTCCTCCCGCTGATGTATCCCTGCGGCGTATCGCAGCTGGTTACTTGTCAGTGCAGTGCCCTCAGCTTTACGCCCCTAGTGTGGCAGTGGTGGGCCAGCGCGCAGTTGAAGACGGCAGGGTGCCCAGGCGGGCCTTAGTGAGCGGTAAGCTGGAGGAGATTCCTTTCCGGGCTGGGAATTGTTGCTGCCATAGGAGGTGGCTTCCCTAGTCCCGGCATCCCCCGCACCTGGCACCTACTCTCCAAAAAACCCCTAAGTCCGTCAAGGCGGCTTACTTGGAATAGGCTTGGAGTATTGGTGCTGCTGACTTCTGCTGAGGGGCGATAGGGGCAGTATCACAGATGCCAGGGTCTGGGAGAGGTTGGAACTGTGAGCGTCCCATTTCCATCCAAGTTTCAATCCTTACTGTCTTTCCAAAGGCAATATGGTAGGGAATGTATTTTGCTCTTGTAACTTCCAAGCAATGGACAAGAATGTCAAATGCTCTCCTTCCAGAGCAGAATCCGGGCAACATGAGTGCATGCAAAACTTGTGCAGGAACTAAAACAGGCCTCACTTCTCCCATATCACACTGTTGCATCTGTCTGAATCATTAAAAGGTGACCATGCCCGCTCACCCAATGGACCTCCGTTCTTAGTGGCCATGAGTGTTTTCTAAGGCTTGCTGCTGTTTGCATAATATTGATGCTGCCCGTAGTGGGGGTTGTCATTTTGATAGAAGATCCTCTTAGGAAAAGGAATGTTTCGAAAGAGGAAAGCACCAAAAGCATTGCCGAGGTAGTGAATGTAGCATGAAACCTTACAGTGTGGCCACATGATGGCACCATAATCTTAAGAACTGAAGGGAAGTGTGTGCACAAGTCTACTGTAATTGTTAGATGTTAGCTCTGGGTCACTAGGGCAGATCCCAAACACACTAAAAATTCTTTTGTATGCTTATTTATTTTAAAAGCACTTAATCTTCAAGGGTTAGAGTGAACTGTGTGAGATAGTGCTTTTCCCATCTGTAAAAATAAACAAAACCAAATGTAATGACAACCAAAATAGCATATTTATTATTAGATTATTAGTGACAAGCAGTTAAGAACACTGGAGTTATCTTGATGGTCCTGTGTTATTTGATAATGCTGGTTCTTAGTCCGCTTCTAAAACCCTGAATTTGTCCTGCCTGCTCTTTCAGCATAATAGCAACCTGTTATGAAGAGGAATTTCTCTTCCTTTTTCATTCTTCTGGGCTATTCTGAAAAAAAGGGGGGTGGGGGGGGAAAGGATCAAGAAGTCTAGCACACAAAAGTTAACCAACTTTAATGGATTGTGTAATACAAAATATTGCAATCTATTGGCCGAGTCCTTAACTGAATGCACCAGCAGTGCTACCAAATACCGTGTTTTCTATTATCTCCTTGAATGTGGATCACAGTTCACTACAGTAGCTGAAATCTGGCTTATTCTCATTTGCTGAAGTGTGGTTCCTTCTCAGTGAAGTGATAGAAACTCTTGATAAGCTGCTGATCCACTGGGCCACCAATCTCTTAAGTTCTACCTCTTCCCTTTGGAAGCTGCTTGTTGCTTGGAAAGGTCCATGCTGTAGAAGAGAACACTGGAAAGGATTGGAGCTGCTTTTTGACATGCCTCTCAGAAAGCTTGTCAGTGTGCTCGTGCACGTTTGGTGGTTGTTCTTTGCACCTGCAGGGCTGGTCAAGGTACATAACCTGCCTGGCATCAAAGCCCTCCAGAGAAAGTAACTTCTTAAAGGCAAGGTGTCTTAGGGGCCAAATGAAAGTTCTTGTCAAGAGCAGGATAAAATATAAAAATATTTTCATTAAGGTATTCTAGAAGGAAAAAAAAAAGCCAGCCTATGTAGAAGTTGCTGCATGTAGTTTCCTATCCCTTTAAAAAATAAATGCATATATTTGTCATTTTATGCTAAAATTACCCAATTTCTGCTTATACTGATATAGTTATCCATTTTAAAAGCATATACGAAGTCCAGAAAGTAACTGGTGCACAGAGTCTTAAAAAAGAGTATGCAGCTGAAAATCTTCTAAATTAGAATGTGTGGTATACTTTTGTTATGCTTCCCATGTGGATGTAGTCCAAAAGTGGTGCTTAATATGACAAAACTGAATAACTTAAAACAAGTGGTTTGATAAGCAAAGATTTCCCTATTTCACTTCCTGCTTTCATAAGCACTTGGCAATGTAAAATCTCTTTGGGGCTGTTTGAAACATTTGCTTCTTTGAAAATATTCTTTAAAAGGCTATCTAGAGGAGTTGGGAAACAGAAATTGCCTTGCTGGATAAGAACAGCGATCAAAATATTCACTTTCAATTTCCTGTCTCCAGAGTTGTCCAAACCCATATGTCTTAGGGGAAATATAAGAAATGCTAGAAAGGACAACTTGGCCTAAATCAATTAATAGTGTGATTATGGTATGATCTTAAGTACGTGAGTATCCCCATATTTACTTCATCTTCTCTACGTGTTCAAGTGCTTTGCAGGATCTGAGCTTTAAGGGGAAGCCCAATCATATTTGACCATCAGTCTTACTAATTATGGAAGCTTTTGCTCTCTGTAAAACCCCTAGATGGCAGAAAAAAACATTGTCATAGCCCCCAAATTATACCTGCTTCTAAAACAAAAAAGAGATGCTCTATGCCCTTGACTCTGTAGAACAGTGACTATTTTTACTTATTCATATGTTTTGATAATTTAAATGTCTATAGCATATGCTTATCTCAAAAAACATCTGGGTCAACCCTGTTCAGAAATCATTTTCACACCTCTAACGCTTTTGTGGTTTTGCAGCCATTATGACTGCATTTATTTCATATTTTAAAGTTTTTCTCTTATGTAGGCTAGAAAAATGACAAGCAAAATCACTGCACTAAAAAGCTAAAACCCTATTGACTCGTTGTCCACATTTAACACCTAGTAGTTAAAACTATTATGAGAAAGATCCAAGAGGTTGGTTCTCAACCATATGCAAAGGAAAATATACCTTGAAATATCAGAGTCTCTTCTAAATGTATAAAATTTTCCCATAACACTTATAAAGATTCTGTATCACAGACCTCAGTAATTTAGCATTATTTACAGAGATACACAACCAGGCTACTAAAAGATGTGACTGAGACTGAGTTTAAATGAGTGAGATACCTTGTATAAGGTACAGTCAAGAGATGTTTCCAAAGAACCAGTGTCAATTTCTAACCTCTAGTTCACTAGGAAAAAATCAGTTTATGAGCCTGCTAGCTTAGGCCCTCAGCCTCTGTGTGGTTTTGGGCCCTATAGTACAAAACTATGCTTTTACATTCACAAAAAAGTGAACGCTTTTTTTACCTACAGACTACCACATTAGCATATCTAGGTAGCTAAATTGATACATCCTTTTCATTTATGTACAAATATCCAAATGTATGAGCAAATACAAGCTTTGGTAAATATGTATTCTGTGATCTGTTGCAGCTGCCTTAGAGCCAATATCCAGGACAGATTCTGTAGGCTTTCATCACAGACTTGGTTTCACAAAAGTCAGTTCCACTTTTTCGCTAGACACAACTTACAATGCAGCAGAGACTTCCTGTTCTCCCGTGGATTGGGTGTAGGTGGAGCTAGCCCGTTCAGCTGTGTCAACATAGAAAACGGGACAGTATTTAGAGAAGTGGAATGCAATCTGCTTTTGGAAAAAGCTATGAAGATACTTCCTAAATTTTTCTCCAGCGAAGGCATAAATTACAGGGTTGATACAACAGTGGATCATGGAGATTGTTTCTGTCACTTGGGTTGCTTTGTGCAGTTGACCACTGCCTTCACAAGTAGTGATGGAAAATGTACCTTGAAAATCACGCAAGAGAATGCAAATGTTGTATGGTGCCCAGAAAAAAAAGTAGACAATCATGATGATAAAAATAAGCCTGACTGCTTTATGTTTCTTCTCATTCCTGCATTGCAGTAATGTCTTTATAATTTGTGTGTAGCTGCAGATCATAATTAACATTGGAATAACAAGTCCCAGGATGTTCATTTTTAAGGTCAGGAATTGCTTCCATGCATTTCTCTGCTCTGGTGGATAATGAGCACTGCAAGTATAACGTGAATTTTCCTTTTGAGTTTTGTGAAATACTATCCCAGGAACAGAAGCAAAAATAGCAACAGCCCAAGTGACAGCGCTGGTGAGGATGCCGTAGGTAACTGTCCTAGCTTTTAAGGCAAACACTGCATGCACTATGGCCAGATACCTGTCTAGGGTCAACAGGATTATGAAAAAGATCCCGCTGTAGAAGCCAAGCAGGTAGACACCTGAGAGAATTCTACACAGCGCTTCCCCAAAAATCCAGTTGTGAACAGCGTAATAAGCCCAAAAAGGAAGAGAAAATATAAACAACAAATCAGAAATTGCCAAATTGAGCAGGTAGATGTCAGTCATACTCTTCAATCTCTTGTATTTTACCAGGATAAGGACAACAAGCATGTTGCCCGTGAGGCCAAATATCACCACCAAAGAATAAAGCGGTGGCAGAAGTTTTGCTGCAAAGTGCTTTTCCTCAGTTCCTGGGCATGGTGTTGAATCGCTGTAGTCAAATTCTGTTGTCAGTGGCCAGTCGGCTGAGTCCGTGGTATGGTTTTCCATGGTGTGTTGGTCTGGAAAGGAAGAAAAGGACGTTAAACTAGAGGCAACTCCAAGCTTGGCAGTGAGGGGAATGAAACACGCCGATGTCCTCATCTGGAATGCTTTTTGCTGTTGAGCACATAAGCATTACTGCGTCAATGTGTGGAAGAGAACGAAATTGCAGAGCTCCCGGGAAACCAATCTATATAGCTGTGAAGTCACGTTGCTGCATGTTGGAAGTGTGCTGGGTGTCATTTCCTACGTGTACGCTGCCTGGTGCGTTTTTCCCCCTCAGTCTAGCCTGTCAGCTGCCTGACGCAACCAGAAGCAGAGGAATGATGAGTTCAGCCTGAGCAGTGGGTAGTTCAGGGCTGTTGTGCTCAGCAGCGGCTTTCCAAAGGGATGGAGCGAGCCAGCGAGGCAGCAGCAGGAAAGCACAGCAGCTGCCACGCAGAGCATAGCCGTCGTTGTGCCAGCCCGTACTGTAGCCCGCACCCAAGGAGGACCAGGCACTGGCAAGGTGTAAGCCGGTGCCTGCAAAGGCGCTGTGACCTGGGCAAAACAAACTGACTGCCGCTTGTTCGGGTTGTTCATGACTTCCTGGGAGCCTTAATGCCTGTGGGAATCGGGTCACTGGAGGTGTGGAAATGACCTTTGCGCAGTACTAAACATACCCACCTGGTGGACGTGCTGTCCTGGGTGTTGCAGAGCAGCAAGTCGGCAGCGTTGGTCTGGTTAAAATGGCAAATGTTGTGTCCTTTACAGAGTCTGGGTCAGGCGTAGGCCATGGAAGCGTGCTGGTCTTAGGTAGCTCTGGAATGAAAACGGTGCGCAGTCCTGTAGAAAGAACAGATAGGCAAACACCTTGGCAAATGGCATAGAAGGTGACAGCTGCTATCAGCGTGGCCTATAACACCTATATCTGTTGTGGCATCTTCCTGTCAGTTGAAAGACCTCCCCAGTGCATCCGCGGGGATGAAAGAAGTTTTGACTCCTTGTTTCAGTAGCTGTTTAACAGCTGTGATTCAGGAGCTCCAAAGTTTAGATTGGCTAAGTGTCTCGGAGGGGGCACAAGGGTGAAAGGCAGACATGGCCATCGCTGTGAGTGTGCACTAACAGTTCTTCATGGGCAGCGGTTGTTTTGATATCGTCCTTCATCTTTTGTTAGTCACTGTTTCCTGTGAGGTGACATAGCAATTGAGGAAGCGCAAGGGTTGCCCAAACTCCCTGTCCCTCCAGTTTTGGTCTGGGGACTGTTGCGGGGGACTGGGCTTCCCGTGCAAGAAGGAGTCACAGCCTGGGAGGTAAGCTGTGCAGCAGAGCTGTGAAAGCCCTCAGGCAAGTTCTGTTACAGTGGGAGCCGGTAAAGGCTTGTGACTTTGAGGTCAGCCCCTCCTGCCACCAGACCCTCCCCCTTTCCCAAGTCCCTGGTAGGACTGTGAGCCAGATGCAGAAGCATAGCTTTGTGTAATTTGGTCTCTGAAAAGTTGAGATCTGTCTTCTCACACACCCCCGGAGACAATGGAAGAATTCCTGCATGTCCCGTGAGAAGCCGGGAAGAGGATTTTGTGAAGACGGGTGTCAGAGGGACCAAATGTGCCTCCTGGTCACTTAGTGGGGAAGTGAAATCCATGGGTTTGGTAGCCGCGTAAATAGAGCTATTTGCTGTCTGGTAAAAGGGCTGCTTTTTCTTCCTGTGTCATCATGACTGCTTTTGTCAGGCACTTCACGGCAGATTGGTGGCTGTTCATAGCAGGTTGATGGTTTTGAAATCTTTCACAGCTTTCATGAAGCTCTGGCAATCTCTGTGAAAAGTTTTTTTCCACAGCCTTACTAACTACATAGTTACTACAATACTGAGATAATGGTTTTGTTGGTAAAGGAAGTGGCTGTGGCTCAGGTGTACTGACAGTAAATAAACTGATTTTAGAGTATCTAAGGGTTTATATTTCTTAAGTACTTTCAGCAACTCTTTTAGAAGAAAACCCCACCTTTCTAAAAGACTCTTTGGTCCAAAACATTAACTTCTTTATTTCAAAACATGACAAGAGTTGAGCACTGCGCAAATATTATATTCCCTTCAGCTAGATCTGCTAGATCTATGTTGCATACCCTGACAGTACAAGTCCCTGGTACTGCATATAGCTAAATATCCCCATTTCCTATGTGTCAGTTAGCCATGCTGTATGCTGGGATTATGGGATGAGGGACTGGCTGCAACACAGTGCCAGACCTGGCACGTCCTGTCTTGATCATTTTGCACCTGCATGATGCTCATGCATAAACATAGATATGAAAAACACCAGGGTCATAAACCCAGAGTGGGATTTTATGAGTATGTGGTTGATAGGATTCATGCAAATATTATTGCAAAATGCTACCTCAATATTATTGCGGTAATTCTTTTCACGACAGCCCCTTCTTCCTGCTAACTGCTATCTCAATGCCTTCCCTCCTTTTCCTTTGCATTCTTGGAATGACAACCACATCTTCCCTGCATCTTATCTTCTTTCAGCCCTTTTTGCATGCTTAAATTGATGTCCCCTCTGAGTGGTTCCTTCTGCTAACTGGGCCCCATTCCTCTAGCCTTGCCTTTGCTTCTGAAGCCTCTCTCTGCAAAAGTACTTACTTCCCTGAGTTGTATACAGTATCCAGCACATGCCGACAATGGAAACTACAGGTGCTAATTCAGGAACCAGAAAAAGGAATTGTAAGTGGTTTTGTGCTTTATCCTGTAATCTCACTGTTTTATGAAACAGTGTTGGCCACTGGCTAGAATGCTTCACCGGATTAATCACCCTGGGTTGTTTATCTAATTAAGAGATATCTGACTGGGCTTATGTTTCCTGATCATTAGGAAAAAACCCCAAAGATAATCCTGGAAGATCTCTGAAGAAAGGGTATTTCAAAAAGAGGTCTGTATTATTTTGAATACAGTTAGATAAATACAGTATTTCTAGAAATCTGCAATCTGCTATACAAATTCTGTTGCTCTGGTTGAGACTAGCAGTCATGCAGTTTTCAAGAGAAAAGCTCTCCATAGAAAAGCTGAGCAAACTCATGTCACTGTTTCATGCTGAGTTTCAGGTCAGAGCTCTCTGTTTTTAAAGAGGCAAAGATTTTATTAAAGTGAGTTTCAGTTCACTTGCACAGTGCTATAAAATGGTAACAATTAAAAAGGTGTAGTAAACAGAGTTAAAATGCTAAGCTATGCTGTGTGTGAACAGGTTCCATGAGACAGTGTTTAAAATACAACATCAGATTTGCTGTAGTCATCCTGTGAGAATAAGTACTCTTCACTCAAATAAGCTGTTCTGTCTTTGCAGTAACAGTTTTAAAATCCAAATTTCCATCATTATATATCATCTTCAGAGAAAAAGTCAGAGAGGCATACTCCATTATATTTCTTACTCAGATCAATCTCTAGAGATTTATTTCTTTGCTTGCCTGGATCCCCTGCTCAAGTCATCTAGTGGTTCTGTCCTTTAAAAGTAGTGTATTCCATTTAATGCATATCCTATGCATTTCCCCAGGGTAATTTTTAAAGATGAGTACACTGGCAAGATTCCACAAGTATTTTTCACCTCAGACATTAGACTACCTAAGCAACTTTTAAATGTTAAAAAAAAAAAAGAAGCAAAGATGACTTACCATATATCTTATGGTTTAAGTGATGGCTTGGATTATTACATTAAGAGTAACCCTAAACCGGTGTGTCAGTCACGAGAAGAAGGTCAAAACCACCTCTTCCTGCATGAAGAAGGATGTATCAATTTGAAAACTTCTAGCAAACAAATCTGTTTTCATTTAAAAAAAACTCAAGGAGCAGTTCTCTTTTTTCTAAAAATGGGTCATCAGATGTTACTTTTCTAACTGTGAGATGTGCAGAGATGTTGAAATTGTGGAGGATCCTCCTAGGAGCTGAACTCAAAGTTTCACAACCCACAACTGTAGTTTGAGAAAAAGGTTTTTATATCGTTGTTTTCTCTTTTTCATTTAGCTAACCTCTTTGAATCAAGAACAGTTTACATGAGGTTCATCCCTTTACATTTCTCAATCATTACATTTCTTTTATGGTTTTTGTCCCTGAACAAAAAGTGGAGCTTTTGAATAAAGCTTACGCTTTTATTCAGAATTACCTGCACTTTCTGTTGGCTTGCTCTGAGTTGCAGTCCTTATATTTTAGGAGATTTGATTGATTATATTTTTCTCTAACCTGGTCTTTTGGACTGTGTTTTTTATTTTAATCCCTCTCATAAGACTATGACTTAGTCTATATAGTGAGTCTGACCTTCTTTTCAAACAACACTGTTACTTACTTTTTGGAATTAAGCTTCAGAAAAGCCTGATAGAATCTGATTTCTTATCAACTTATTTCCTTGTGGCTGATTCCTGTGACTTGTAGAGTTAAACTGAACCTGCACTGTGAGCAGCTTTTTAGATCCTTCTTAGACATCAAAGAAACCACACAGGAGGTAGGAAAGGTACAGAGAAAACGAGAAAGAGACGGTGCCTTATCAGATGCCTGAGAACCCCTGAGAGAGAAACCCTGAGAAGATACCTAATAAAGTGCAACCCCCTGCCTCCCCTTGACATCTCTTTGGAGAGTTCTGGAGTATCTCATCCTTTAGCGAAGGCGCTAAAGGGATGTCTTTCCTGCACTCAGTCCTTAGTATCCTTAAAAGATTTTAAAATGCCAAAAGCCCAATGGAGATGTCTTGCTTTGGATGCTGCCATTCCTTAACGGAAGTCAAGGGAATCACAGCTTCTGAGTTAGATTTCAGATCTGGAAGGAGTCAGTAAAAAGCAAAAAGCTCAGCCTGTTTTCCTTGTCAACCCTTCTTTGCATGAGGGACTAATCAAGGTCTTTATTCCATAGGATCAATAGATTTTTCTCTTCCTTTCCTAATCAGCTGTTCCAATGAGCTCTCTAAGGGCTGGAGTCTCAGCGTCAAAATTAATGGCTGCTGTAGGGTATTCTAAGGGTACGTTCACACTACCTTACTTGATGGACTGTATTAGACCCCCTATACAGTCAATGGAAAGAGCTGCTTCTAAAAATGTTTCCACTACACCTAAATCAAGCTCTTAATTGCTGCCAAACTTTGCTGAAAAGAACTGCACTTTTATCATGAATTCTTGTAATTCTCAAACAAGGTACTGTATTAAATTAATTTTTCAATGTATAATTCCTAAACAGTCTACATACTGAAATTAACAGACATCTTAAGGATTTCTTTCTGAAGCCTGCTTCATTGTTCACTGTTTGTTACATGTTACTGAACCTACTGGAGACTCTAAAACCTTTCATAATCTCACACTATATGAACAGGGGAAACAGTCTCAAACCTGTTGTTGGACTTGTCTGTTTTTCATCAAGCTTTTGATTCTGAAATATGCTCTCACAAAACTGGTCTCAAACTTTTGAACTAACAACAACAACTTAAAACTAAGACCTGTGCTAGGCTGGTCTTCAGAAATAGTCCCTTGTTCCCATAGATTAATTTGCTTTATTAATCTATTTGATTTTGTTGCTTATAGCTTTTTGTTCTCATAGCTCAGTCTGATCAGCAAATGTAGCTTGGTATTTCCTTTACTGATTAGCACCGTAAGATTGCAGAGGGTGTTGCATGCCAACAGAGGGCCTCTGCCACTCACAGTTATAGCAACTGACTAAGGGGAATGGTTTTGGTCTGCTCACCATCTGGGTCTTACAGCTGGATGAGAGACTCCCCACAGAGAGTGTGAATAGCTATGACACTTGGCAGCCCAAATACAGGGACACACTGGCAGCAGGCACCTGGACTGCGACTTTATTATCAGCGCCTACACAAT